TCTCATCTGCATTCCAGGGAGTAAAGACTATGTAGCTTAAGGGTGATTGTTCATAGTTAAAGTGATTAACTACCCGCCTGTCACTTAGTTAAGGGGTTTTATTCCCTCCCTAACTTCAGGGAAAAATCCCTACCTGGGGAAACAACCTTTGTCGGAGAGGTGACCTTGGTTAAAACACATAGCGCCAAGAAGGTGAGCAAACATATTAAGAACAGTATGCCATATACGCCAGGTCCCTTGAAACAGCAAGGATGGACCGGCTCCCGGCAAATCAGGACTGAAACATCCAAAAAATATTTACAACAGCATCAAAAATATATTTTAGTATAAATTATGACGAAAATTTTAAAAAATCTGCACAGTGAAGTATTACTGAGAATACAATTTAAAATAAGGGGAAAAAGAGATGTACTATGTTCATAGATCAGAAGACTCACTATAGTTAAGATTATCAATTCTCTCCAAACAGATCTATAAACAAAACACAATCCTAATCCAAATCTTAGAATGCATTTTTGTGAAAAATGACAAGCAGATTCTTAAGTTCATATGTAAACATAAAGGAAATGGGTCAACCAACATAAATATAAAAATAAAGTACAAAATTGGTGAATAGATATTACATGACTTCAAGACTTATTGTAAAGCTAGAGTAATACAGGCATACAATAGAACAGAATATAAAGTACAGAAATAGTCTTATATAGTCTTAAACACTTATATTGACAACTAACTTTTTTTTTCAATGTCTCCCCATTCACAATACAGACCAAGCAAAGAGCCTGAACTGAGGTGTGTATGGGATAAGTTTACTCTGCCTCCTATTTCTGTACAGTCAGTGTAAGAACACAGCCTGTGGTAAGCACCAGGAGGCCGACAACTACTTTTAACAAAGAACAAACGTGAAAAGCAAGTCACTGGTTAAAATACAGTGCATAAATGAACTGCACTATAGCTTTTTTTTTTGCGCTAGAGAATTTGATGTCTGTACTGGGGGGAAATTTTGATTCATTACTTCAAATATACACAAACACTAACTCAAATAGGAGTATATACTTAAATAGAAAACCTAAAATATAAAATTTTTACAAGAAAATATAGGGGAAAATCTTTATGACTTTAGGTTATGCTAAGATTTCTCAAAAAACGAACTGAAAAACAGAACATCTAAATTTAAAAGTGTCATTCATAAAAACACTCTTAATAGAGTGAAAAGCAAGCCTCAAACCAAGGAAATATTTGCAAATCATATACCAGACAAAGAACTTGCATCTATAATATATAAAGTACCTTGAAAACTCAATAAAAAAAAACAGACAATACAATTTTTAAAAGTGGGATATGCACTTAAACACACTTTACCAAATAAAATATACACATGGAAAAAAAATCACATGAAAAAAATGCTTCAATCATTAGTCATTAGGGAAATGCAAATCAGTGAGAATTAGATACCTTTTAGAATACCTAAAATGAAAAACACTAACCATTCGAAGTATCAAAATATTTGGAAGAAGTAAAATTAATATACTACTGGTGGAAATGTAAAACAGTATAACCATTTGGGAAATAGTTTAGATGTTTCTTAAAAAATGAAATACAAATCCACCATATGTTCATGACCCAATGGAAGTGTCTTTCAATGCAAAATCAGTACAGTTTTTAATAATGAACAAAATTTTCCCTTCTAACAATCTATCAAAATTGCAGTTATTCAAAATTTGATCATAATGAAAAGATTATTTAAAATCCAGCTGAGTTTGCTCAAGGTCTGTATTTTGTCCCATGTCCAGAATAAGATCTACTGCTATCTTACTCTCCAGAATGGAAAGAAATGCACCAAATAAAATTAAGAAAATAAAGCGAAAAGACTGCTTTTCTTTGCAATATATATGTTTTAACAAATTTGAGAAACACAAAAATGGTAACCTAATACTGACAACATGAATTTTGTTATCTGAAAAATCACCTGAAACTAGTAATATGAACCAATTCATTAAAAATGAAAAAATACAAATACTCACAATAGCATGTTCCTCTAAGTGGATTACCAACATAGCGGTTTTCAGAGTCACATCTGTAGGAATAAAAAACTCATTGACTATTAAACACCAAAATTCAGAAGCGTCTTGTATTTTAAACAAAAAATGTAATTAAACTCTACATTAAAACATCTTTGAAAACTATAGAATTAATTGAAGTTTTCAAATCACATCTTCAAAAAATAGTGAATGTAAAAAGCCTCTACATGAGTATGAATGAGAGAAGAAATAAATGGAGAAAACAAGTAAATACACGAGAGGAATAAAGAGAGTGCTGTAAGGCAGATGGGATAAGTATTGTGAGTTTGGGGATATGTAGTCTTCATTAATCATACGAGGAGGAATTGAAAGTCTAGATAAAGATATAGGGACATTTTAGGTACTCTCTAAAATTGCAAAACAGAGATAGAGCTTCATTTTGCATAACGCTACTTCCTGGAACACCCTCCAAAATAAGTTATTATAAAATGTATACAACGGGGTTATTGAATAAAGTGAGTTAATATTTAATTACATGTAAAAGTTTAATAGATGAGAAAGACCTTCTGAAAATGCCTTCACTTTTAGTAGAGCTAATTAGAATAGAGAAATACTTTTTAATACGTACATACATTTTAATTTGTGAACAGCCAAATAGTTGATAATAATAATCTAAATAATCAGTTTACACGCTGAATGTATTTTTCAGCCACGCTATTTTTTGTAGCTCTATAAAAAAAAGTTGAAAAGTAAACCTATTTCTACACTAACTACAAAATTAAAGTAGAAATAAAATAGCCCTACAAACCACTAACTTTATTCTCTGTGAAACAAAGAATAAATAGATTAAAGTTAGGAAGTTAGCTGTTCTGTGAATTCTCCAAATGCTATTAAAATGTGGAAGATATAGTGGTTTTCTAGTTTTAGAAAATCATCATACTCATTATTGCTGAATTAAGCAATTTAGAATCTATACTGTCCCTTTATTATTGGTCTTTCCTTTAGGCTTGCCTCCTTATATTTCATCAGTTTGTATCAAGAATATACATAGACTAAAGGACTAATCTATAATACCATTACTGATATAAATTCCTTTTTATGTAGCAAAACTAAACATACCTTGTTGCAAAAAGGTATCCCAATACTACTTTTAGGGTAGGAAAATATTCAACATAATATCTTTGTTATGCATGATATCCCCTGCATATCTTACTTGCCTAAATAGCTATCTTCCAAAGTCCCTTAGAAATCTAACATGACTCATAAAATTTTACTAACCAATGTCATCCCAATAAATTCAGTAAATTAATTAATTAATGAAAATAAAATGACTAGCTTTGACAAATGGTAAGGAACTTAAGTACTTTACAACTGATGTATGTATTGACTTTAAGAACTCTGGTTACCAACCTAGTTTTCAATATGGAAATTATAGTTTTCATTTGTCTTAATAATATTTAGTGTAGCCATAGCCATTTTGACTCAGTGGATAAAGCATCCTCCTGTGGACCGAAGGGTCCCAGGTTTGATTCTGGCCAAGGGCATGTACCTCAGATGCAGGGTTCCTCCCCCGCCCAGGCCCTGGTCCGGGCTCTTGTAGGAGGCAACCAATCAATGCATTTCACTCATATGGATGTTTCTCTCTATCTCTTCCTCTCGCTTCTACTCTTTAAAAATCAATGGAAAAATATCCTCAGGTGAGGATTAATCCTATCTAATAAAGAGGGAAGATACAAATTGACCATCACAAAGATGGAGGCGCCCATATCCACAAGATGGTGGCGCCCAGTTCCCTCAGCCCCACTGGAGTCCCGCAGTCCTTTCAGCCCCACAGGAGGGAGGGGGGGAGTGGCAGACGCGCAGTGCGGCTAGACCCGCCCGCAGCCTCCCAGGGCCAGCCCAAATAATAATAATAATAATAATAATAATAATATTTCATTTATTCAAATTATATTATATTGGACTGGAAATTATCATAACATGTTTACCTTCAACATAATAAAATTTGTACAGATGATGTATTGTGTAATTATGCACCTGAAAAACTGTATAATTCTGTTAATCAGTGTCACCCCAAGAAATTTAATAAAAAGAAAAATAACAACAGAAAAAGAAAAAAGAAAAAAGAAACAAATAAAAGTGCATCAAACTGAAAAGTTTTTGCACAGCAAAGGAAACCATCAACAAAATGAAAAGAGAACCTACTGAGTGGGAGAAGATGTCTGCCAATGACATATCCAATAAGGGGTTAATATCCAAATTTTATAAAGAACTCATACAACTCAACACCAAAAGAACAAAAAATCCAATTGAAAAATGGGCAGAGAATTTGAAGAC